ATAGAGAACAGCTTTATAATCTTATAAGCTTGGTGGCCAGAGAGCAGATTTTCTCCAGTATTAAATGTGCTGTCTCCAAGTGGTGTCAAAGTAAACCAAGACCTGAATAATCCAATGCCCACAAGAAACAGAGTCTAGTTGTAACAGTCTCTCCACTTACAGTAAATTCTGTTAGATGAGATATGCAATCACCTTCACTGTCACATTAACACAAGCACCCGCAGAAACAAAGAACAGTTTGCAGTTCCCTCTGTTGATGTGCAAAGCTCCAGCACCTATGCTATAAATAATTAATGGCTTATTTTGAAAATCTAAAGCTCTTTTTTGAAGCCAGCTGTATTTTCCATGTGGTTTGGCAGTGAAGCATGGCCTGGGATTATGGGATTTCATACTGTGCTACAAAATGACTGTGGCCTACTCTACCTCCATATCGACCCTTTTCTCTACTAATTCTCTAAAGCACTGGCGGCCCATGGACAAATGACATTGTATGGCCCAAACTTATCTGCCCTGGCTCATTCAGTTATTTATATGTATATGTTTATATTTTATATGTTTATATATATATTTATATTTTAATAGCAAGAGATAAAATGTAATAACAAGAGATAAAATGTAAACATCTAGAATTCTGGCTTCTCTTGAAAAAACTAGAAAAGTTATAAATTATCTATAAATTCTCACATTGGCAAGAATGCACTAAAGCTTAGAAGTGAGTGCCCTCTTTTGATGGAATATGAACTCCGCAGGTTACCAGTCTCTGCCACTCTCTATTGCCTTAGACCCTCTCTGCTGCACTAATTTCCATGAGTCACATAATGCACCTCGACTGGCCCCAGACAGTTTGTGTTGTCCAGCCCTATCAAGGCTTTTGACTTCAAGTTGCATGCTGATCTCAGGAGAGACAGCAAAAGAAAGGATAGGAGGAAAACGGTGCAAACAGGCATTAACTAATTGTTAACCATTGCCAAATGGTTTCTCTAAATGGGAGACACTGTCTATAAAGTGTGAGCACATGGTAAGTGCTCAGTAAATACTGGCTGGCATTATAATTAGCATTATTTCACTGTATCTTATTGAACACTCCAAAGATAATTTCAGAAGATAAACAGGTGATTAGAAAAGAATTTCAGAAAAGAAATTTCTGAATAATCAGAATGTGAGGGATTTGTATTATAAAATATGTGGGGTATGTAATGAAGCTATGGTAACTACATATTGGAGTACTGATAAAAGCATAGGCAGATCAATGGTACAGAAAAGATAGTCCTAAGACATACTCAAGCATGATATATAAGAATTTAATATATGATCAAACTGACATTTCACAGCAGCAGAAAGAATAGATTAATCACTAACTGGTTCTGGGATAACTGATTAAATCCCAAAACTAAAAAAGTAGGGCACCTGGCTAGCTCAATTGGTAGAGCATGTGTGACTCTTGATATAAGGGTTGTGGGGTCATGAGTTCAAGATCCACACTAGACATGGAGCCTCCTTATTAAAAAAAGAAGAAGAAGAAAAGAAAAGAAAAAGGTAAACTTTTAAAAAGCTATAGAGAAAAACCCTAGAATAATTATTTGATCTTGAGGTGGGAGGGTGGGGGAAAACCTTTCTAAGCATCAAAGCCAAGTGCAAAACCATAAAAAGTTTGAAAGTCCTGAGAAGAGAACAATAAAAACCACTGCATATTTAAAAAATGTAAAAGAAACCAATCTTGAACATCTAGAACTTATTCTATATTATATAGAACTATTCTATACTACAGAAGAGTCGTCATGACAGAGGACTTGCTGTGTCCAGGCACGTGTTTGGAGTCTGGTAGATACCATCTATCTGAATCCATGGGCACTACAGATACTATTATTACCGCCATTTTACAATTGGGGTTTATAGACTGATAAAACAGTCTATAAGTAAAGTCTGATAAGACATTACCAAACTGCAGTGATAAAGTAGAAACTTCTCCTGAAAGCTAATAGTAAATATTTCAGTGAAAGTAACTGTTATGTTAGCATGGTGAGATCATGGGTGATGTTTTGTTTTGTCTTAGTTTTATAACCTCCTCAGTGTTTTACATTACATTTACTTTTAGAGAAAATAGATACATCTTTAGAACTACCTCTTGTTTTATCGTGGCCAGAGCTCTCTTATCTTAGAGTAAAAACACTGGGAGTTCTTTATAAAACAATAAAATGACGGGGGCGGGGGAGGGTGATAACACTAAGTGATGACCTAGAGCCAGGCACTGTGAGAGTTGATTTATCTGCATTATATATCATCCTTACCTAAAGCCTACGAGGATAAGTATGTTTTTCTCCACTTACTGAAGGAAACCGAGACTCCAAGGCTTCACTGAGCTTGCCAAACAGTAACAATGTTGGGACTGAAACGCACCTTTAATATCTGGGCTCTCTCGACTGAATGGCCCCCTAATTATCCATTGTGCCTTCTCCAACAAGGCTCTATTAGTGTGGACTCAATCCTATGTGTATGGAACTTCATTTTCTGAAAGCGGTGATAAGTAGCAGAGACAAAAGGGAAGGAGTGAGCTGCCTGATATCTCAGTGTCAGCTCTGGCTTGATCTCTAGCAAAGCACTAATCTCATAACTGCCAAATGTATGGGGCAGCACTGAGAAGAATGCCCCTTCAAACACCGGCAGATCAGACTCTTAGACCCTGCTGTTTTTCCAAATTGTAGAAAAGGCTCTAGATCTCATCTATTCAGTACTGCCATGATTCCTATCATCTTGAATACTTCAAACAGATGGGTACCCACCCAGCTCTGAAACATTTCACAGGAACAAGGGTTTAAAAAAGTTCCATTGGCAACCAATGCTTATGCTTAACCTGTCAGGGGAGAAAATGTTCTAATGTCTTCAATATGTTGACCTCATTTCGAGTGAAATTCCTGTGAAAACAGCAGACGTGAAGCACCCTGGGTAATCAGTGTTCATATCACAGCATTTCATATTCCCAAGAAGAACTAAGTATTAGTTCAGAATCACTCCCCCTAAGCCTTCACTCGCTTATTTGATTTATTCCTCTTTTAGTGCTTCCCCTGAATCTTCAAATATCATACCTACCTAATGAAGATTAAAAATACACAAAAACCAGGATGTTTGAGTGGCTTAGTCAGTTAAGCATCCGACTTTGGCTTAGGTCATGATCTTGTGGTTCACGAGTTCAAGCCCTGTGTTGGGCTCTGTGCTGACAGCTCAGAGCCTGGAGTCTGCTTTAGATTCAGATAATACAGAGCTAGGTTTAGCATCTCTCTCTGTGGAGAAGCTATTTAGTGATGGGTACAAAATGTAATGATGAGTATTTTTGGTGTATCCACCAACTTTTTGATAAGGATGACTTGGTCCCAAACCAAATTTTAAAGAATGTGATTTTTCAGACTGCTATGGCTATTACTGATTATTTTAATAATGACCTTCCAACACTTTGCATCCGTACAGTATTATTATCTACAAGAATTTCTTTTGCTAATGAAATGTCAAGCCGACATTTTTATATTAACCATAGAGCTATAATAAAGCAAACTCTGGGCAAGCTCAACACCACGGCCACAGGACTACCATTTTTTGACTGTCCTTGAATGAATGGAAAGTGCAATGCTACTCTTCACTCACTGAGAGGTAAATGGTGAGAAAGTCCATTTTTATCTTTGCTCTATTGGATGAGGGCACCGGTACATTACAACTGATTTTCAAGGAATGGAGAGAAGTGGGGAAAAAAGGAAGATGAAGAAAACATGAGAAGAATGTTTCACATCAAGTCCTGTGTGACCAGACACAGAAAGACAGAGGACCAACCTGCTTCCTAAGAAATGTTACCCTATAATACCAATTCCTTCACTTAATTTGAGAAATGATAGTACTTCCTCTGATAATATCTTCTAGGCCAGGATCATAGACCTCAAGCAGTTGGACCCCCCCAAAAAAAGTATCAGGATAGAGAGCACACCAGCTTTGAATAATAGTAGACAGCAGCAAAAAATGAGTTTAAGTGCCACAATGGCTTTCTACTAAACTAAATCTTTCAAACAGCATTCATTCATTCATTCATTCATTCATTTTTTAAAAGTAGGCTCCATGTCCAATGTGAAACTTGAACTCCCAATCCCAAGGTCAAGAGTCACATGCTCTATTGACTGAGCCAGCCAGGCACCTCTCCAACAACATTTAAAAGAAGAATTAAAGAAATATGGCTAGAGTAGAGAGATTTACGGAAAATCAAAGATGAAAGGATGTGAATTAAGGTATAAGAGATAAATGTCTTTCCAGAGAGATGAACTCTAATTTATCCTCATGTTACAATTAATTAATAACAAGCCTTGGTAAGAACATATGTTACTTTTATTTTTTATTTTTTAATATTTTATTTATTTCTGAGAGAGAGAGGGAGAGAGACAGCATGAGCAGGGGAGGGTCTCAGAGAGAGTGGAGACACAGAATTGGAAGCAGGCTCCAGGCTCCGAGTTGTCAGCACAGAGCCTGATGTGGGGCTTGAACCCACGAACCATGAGATCATGACCTGAGCTGAAGTTGGACACCTAAGTGACTGAGCCACCCAGGCGCCCTGAATATATGTTACTTTAAAAAATAAGAATAAGATATACTTTAAAAAAAAATAAGCCTGAGTGACTTAGTCAGTTAAGTATCCAACTCTTGATTTTAGCTCAGCTCATGATCCCAGGCTCCTGGGATTGAGCCCCACATCAGGTTCTGTGTTGAGTGTGGAGCCTAGTTAAGATTCTCTCTCCTTCTGCCCCTTCCCTGCTTATATGCATGCGTGTATGCTCTCTCAAATAAATTAATTAATCTATCAATAAAAGAATATGATAGTAGCAGATATACCTGATCAAAGAACAATGTACAGCACCATGAGAAATACATAACATCTTTCAGTTAAGCTCAATTGTTTTATCTTAGAAGAAGAAACAATCAACCTATCTTTGAAAGTGAATGTTCAATTTATTTTTAAAATAGTTTACCTGATTTAAATAATTTAGGCACTTTTCAAGACACCAAAGGCAACAAATGCAAGATTTCAGCACACATCGAGCACAAGCATTTTCCTAGAAAGGACAAAAAATTGAAATAATTAAAAACCAACATATAGAATATTCGAAATGTTAGAAAAATAAATAAAAGTTTAAAAAAATCACAATCTTTGTTTCAAGGCCTCCACACCTACCTTATTTTCCCTTAAAATGTAATGGTTAAATTATTTTTAATCAATTTTTTCGGACACATATTTTTTTCAAAGTTTTTAAATGTTTATTTACTTTTGAGAGATAGTATGTATGAATGGGAGAGGGGCAGACAGAGAGGAGGCAGAGGATCTGAAGCTGGCTCTGTGCTGACAGCAGAGAGCCTGATGTGGGGCTCAAACTCACAAACTGTAAGATCATGACCTGAGCTGAAGTCAGATGCTTAACTGACTGAGCCACCCAGATGTCCCTAATTCAACACATATTTAGTACCTACTGCATGTAAGATAGGTAAGATATATAAGACTGGCAAGGAATTTATACTATAGTTAAAGAAAAAAAAGCTAAACATACAAAAAGGTTAGAATCATCAGAATATGCAATAGATACTAGTGCTATAAGAGTGGACAACAGGCAGAGATGACATCATCTGGGAGGAGGAAGAATCACGGAAGGTTTCTAGGAAGAGGTGGCATATAATCTATGTTATAATGCATGTTATCTCCCCAGTCAGGGACAGGGAAGAGGCTCCAAGGAGGAAGGTGTGAGTCAACACAGAGGATGAGAAGCACAGGACACTGGGAAACCAGTGGTATGATGGATTTTGCCAGAGTACATGGTGAGCAGGAGTGGGGGGCAAGACAGAAGGACTGGATTCTACTTTGCAAGGATTATAAAGAAAATATTCACAACTATGGACTGAGCATGAGTGGGAGCTGCAGAGCTCATGCAGAGCTGAGGTCTGGGATGTGACCACAGCCAAGCGCAGAAAAGAGTTTTCTCCTTACCTTTCCTTTGAGCTGACTGTGAATGTACATAAGGATCATTCGTGGAATTTTGACTAATGTGATAATGAAAGATCCTTTTGCCACAGTACCAAGGTGATAACGAATAAGGCGATTCACTGATGCCAAAATAGGTGTAAATGGCAAATTCCTTTTATCCCTTTTTGAAAGATAACCAAAAAGACAATTAAAACAAAGGCTAAGTGCAGGAATGGTTTAAAGCCCAATGCAGTGAAAAATTAGTTCATTTAAGAAAAGTCTAGGTTTATGACAAAATGGCAAAGTAACGTACAACTACTACAAATGCTACAGGTGCACCAGATAAAATTAATGCTTCATTTCTTTGTGGTAGTTTCATGGGGTTCTTACGCTCTAAGACTTTAAATAAAATGACACTGTGCTTTGAAAGCTTTCACTAGTAAATACTTACAGAGTTAAATGCATAATCAAAAAATGGAACTTAAAAAAAATGTTCAATCGAGACCTGGTACCTCATTATAATAGAAAATTGTAAGGCCTACAGCTTATATTCAGCTCTCAAGTTAGGAAGAGTCGCAATATTTGTTTCTGATCCAAACAAATTAAACAGGCTTAGACCTTTATATAAAGTCAAAGTACATAAGACACTACAAGATTTATTCTTTTGCTAAATAGCATTGAAGTTATATCATGACCTGCTGTTCTGATTAATTTTTTGAGAAACTTACAGGGAAGTATAAAGATTAAAATAACCACCTCCCATTTTCCTACCTCCCAGAATCATCAGCTCTAACATTTTGTCATATTCGCTTCCAATTACTTTTTCAAGAAATGAAACTCTTCACCAGCCTCCATTCCATTTCCTTCAGGCACGATCACTTAGATGATCTTAGGTTTTCTGAGAAGTATAAATTCTCACCTAGTAAAATAGTAGGTTACCACAGCTCCTGCCACAGTCATCTGCTGACATGCTAGAATAAATTCACTGATCCAAATCAGGCCTACTACATGGTACCACCACATGTACTGTAGAGGCCCAGAAACTCTGAACTCCACAAAGCCTTGGTCATTCTGAACAGCGCTGCCTAGGAAAATATCCAGGAAGGAAAGAAGAAGCACATAAAGTAAGAAGCACACAAACCAAGAAATATGGCTATTGAATGTAAGAGATGAATCTAATTTCCAACAACAAGCCCCTTCCCGCAAACCGCAAACTTTATGATGGCAGTGCTATTTAATTAAGAGACAAAAATACTTATCACTTGAAAAGGTGTGAAGGCAGACACTGTACAATTAAGCATTTTGTTTTCCCCAAAGGCATCATATAGCTTTTAAAAGATGTTCTATTTGAATAGAGTTCCTACCCCATCAGTTAATTTAGGCATGAATTTTCAAACTTCAATTTTTTTGGAGCTATTTTATTACTCATCCAATAATTACAGACCTAAATTATTAGCAAAATACAGAAATTAATACTATAATCCACTGGTAAATGTGTACTGCATGGCCAGAGAGGTTACATATAAGCTTACGACCCTTACACCACTCCTCACAATTAATTCAAGTGTAATCTTTGATATTAAGAGTGGCTCCAACAAGTCTGAGGGTCTAACTGTGAACGGTATCATCACCAGGAATTCTACCTAGGTTCAGATCTTTTCCAAACTAGGAAATCCCAAGGAAGCAAGTTGATTCAGGCTGTAATGAGGGCTTAAGGCAACTCCAGAGAGCACTACATTCATCTGTTCATCTTAGAATGAATCCAAAAGTCTGAATCAGTACTGGCATTTACTTTAAAGCCATGACCTGGTTTAGACCTACTTTGCTAGGATGATCTAAAAAATATGAATAGGGAATGGGTTGTTGAAGAGCCATAACCACTGCTGGTTCCAACAGCTATTAGACCTTGGTCAATAAACGTCTTAAGAATTGTATCTGATATTTTAAAATATTTTAATGCAAATCAAATTCATCACTACGAGAAAGAAACATATCTTCTTACCAGTGGTGCCAAGAAAAAGAAGCGTCATGATCCAGTATGCCCAAAATAAGACAAGAGCAAAGAAAGTCCAAAAGGGTTGGAAGACTAGTAGCGGCAAGTGTATGAAGACCTTGCCAGCCACGTGGAACAAGGCGATGGTGAGAGCGACTCGTTTGCGCATAACCAGCATTATCAGGAACAAGATAACCTGTACAGAGAGAATGCAGAGAAAGGTCCCAGTTACCGCTGTAAGCAGTAAAAACAGAAATTGAAACATGCTGGAAATTTTTAGCACAACCCTTCATTCCAAATTGGAGAAGGATTATTCTCTGAATCCCAATAACACTTTATCGGTCTTGCAGCATTGAGCATCCTCAACTGTATATTGAAAATGTTCTTAAAGCAGAACATAAAAGGATTTCTCAACATATTAATAAATCCTAGAGTTCTTCTACCTTTCCTTTTTTCCATTCATTATGAATCAAAATGTGTTGTCTGTCCATCAATATAAGGCTCTTAATTTATTTGAATAGGTATGTGCTTGTCATTTTGAAAAGAGGGGAGAAAACCATATGCTATGACTACAAAAGTACAGGAGGTATTTGTACCTCATTTCCTTTATTGGACCAAGAGCTCGTAGGGGCATCTGGGTGGCTCAGTCAGTTAAGGGTCCAACTTTGGCTCAAGTCATGATCTCACAGTTTGTGGGTTTGAGCTTTGGATCAGGCTCTCTGCTGTCAGCAAATGGACCCCACTTGGGATCCTTTGTCCCTCCTCCTCTCTCTGCCTCTCCCCAACTCTTTCAGGCACATGGTCTCTCTCAAAAATAAACATAAGAGGGGAGTCTGGGTGGCTCAGTTAGTTAAGGGTCTGACTTTGCTCAGGTCATGATCTCATGGTTCATGAGTTTGAGCCCACGATGGGCTCTGTGCTGACAGCTTGGAGCCTGAAGCCTGCTTCAGATTCTATCTCCCTCTCTCTCTCTGTTCCTCCCCTGCTCATTCTCTCTCTCTCTCTCTCTCTCTCTCTCTCTCTCTCTCTCTCTCTCTCAAACACAAATAAAGATTGTACTGTCTCTCTCAAAAATAAAGATTAAAAATTTTTTTTTTTAACTTAAGAAAAAGAGCTCCTACAGAGCAGCATCCATGTCAGCTTCACCTCCTGCCTGCCTTCACTGTGGTCTGAGTGAGAGCAGGTGAACTGTAGTTAAAAAAAAAAAATTGTACTTTGGGGTGCCTGGGTGGCTTACTCTGTTAAGCATCTGACTTTGGCTTAGGTCATGATCTCGTGGTTCGTGAGTTCAAGCCCCCATATCAGGCTCTGTGCTGACAGACAGCTCAGAGCCTGGAGCCTGCTTAAGATTCTGTGTCTCCTTCTCCCTCTGTTCCTCCCCCACTCATACTCATACACACACACACATACACACACACACACACACACACACACACACACACACACTGTCAAAAACAAAGATCGCGCTGTCTCTCTCTCTCTCTCTCTCTCTCAAAAATAAAGGTTAAAAAAAATTTTCTTAAACATAAGAAAAAAAAAGAGCTCCTACAGAGCAGAGTCCATGTCAGAGTCGCCTCTTGCCCGCCCTCACTGTGGTCTGAGAGAGAGCCGGTGAACTGTACTTAAAAATTGTACTTTGGGGCACCTGGGTGGCTCAGTTGGTTAAGTATCTGACTTTGGCTCAGGTCATGATCTCATGGTTCATGAGTTCAAGCCCCTGTGTCAAGCTCTGTGCTAACAGCCTGCCTCAGGTTCTGTGTCTCCCTCTTTCTCTGCCCCTCCCTTGTTCACTCTCTCTCTCTCAAAACTAAATAAACATTTAAAAAAAATTTTTTAAACTGTACTTAAAAATGATTAGTAAATATTTATATAATAACAAACAAATACCTTTTGGCACCAAAGGTTTTATGGTGGCTTTATTTTTTATTTCTAAAGCTCAATTAAAAGCTTGGGATTGGTCCAAGAAGTGGTCTGAGATTTTTTTTCCTTTCTTTTTTTAGAGAGGAGAAGGAGATGGACCAAAGATATGAGCACATATTATTTAATCACATGTTCATTAGTAATTTACTGTATAGTGCCTAGGCAGCAAAGCTCACTCTAATTTAGAAAAATGTTGTTAAAAGTTTAAAAAAAGTTTAAAAGGGAAAAAGCGAAGATAATTAGCACACAGGTAAATGAAATATGTGTATTTTTTAACATACTTTAGTAAAGAAATTCATTTTTAAAAAAGAATTGTATTATGAAAATAAGATAATATGCTCTTCCTAACAAATGATAACTTGAATATTCTAACTGAAAATTCTCTCTCAACAGGCAGGCAGTACAGAATAAAACATTGCATCAAATAGCACTCATCCATTAGGGAAGCCTTCTGAAGACTTTTTAGTGTTCCATACCACGGGACAGAGTTTTTATCTAACAGAGATCAGAGTTAGACACGCAATAGCCAGAGGTGACTTTCTGCTTCATTAAATGATCCCTGTAAATAAAAACATAAGCCTGGAAGATAGCTGGCCCAAGCCTATACTCACTGTGAACACTGTGGCTGAAATGGCATAGATGAGGAGCGCCCGAAGATTGTCTTCAGCTATCTGAAGCTGTTCAGGAATAACTGTTTCTTTGGGAGACTTTCTTTGCTTTGCATACAGCCACCATAGTACACCTGTGCCACCTGGGTTCAAAAAACAATTGTTTTGGAAATAACTAGTACAAGAAAATGTGTAACATTAATCTTCACGTTCCTGGACCCTTCCTATATATCACTGTGGGACTAACACAGCAATAAGCCATTTGGCTGGGAGGTGTGTGACTGTAACTTTTTGCAGGCATAAGGGGAGCTCCGTTGACTCCATTTTCATCATTTGTACTAGGTATTAAGACATCTTCAGTTGTATCAGATAGACATCCTTCAACTGTATCTATTGTCAATTCTGAAGCTCAGAGACAGCCAGCAAAGACAGGCACCCCAGAGAGAAGCGGATCATAGAGACTCAGCACCTATTGAGAGCTGGGGAGCTTGTATGAAGCAAGTAAGGGCCACAGAAATCAGCAATGATGTTGAGGAAAGCAAAAATCTTCTCTACTGGGCCATCACAGCAACCCCTGTGCCTTGTGCTGAAACAGTCATGCGGTTGATTCAATATTTGTACAATGAGCAAAGAAGATCAAAGAAGTGGTTCCCACCAAAAGTGGGAAGAAAGACAGGAAATCTTTGATAGGTTGGTAGCAGCGCATGCTAGAGATGGGGGTTGTTCAGAGAGTCCAAGAACTAGACTGATGAGGGGGGCAAACCCACCTCCACAGAAGAGGGCTGCATCAGACACCTTCATTCTGAGTGCCCAGAGCATCTACTGATCTAGGTGCTGGGGACAGAGCTGTGAACAAAACCAAGGCCCCACCCTCACCCCCACGCATGGAGCTTATACAGCAATAAGGAAACAAACAAACAAACAAACAAATATGGAGGTAAGTAAAAATAAAGAATATGAAGTCTAAGAAAAAAAGTCACCTTTTAATAGAGATAGAAAGTGCTGGGGTTGGGAAAGCATTGTGATAAGATGACTAAGCAAGGTCTCAGTGGTGAGATGATATTTGAGCAAAAGAATCAAAGACAGGGAGAAAACAATCTATAAAACTATCAATGGGAAGGGATACTTGGGTGGATTAGTCGGTTGAGCCTCTGACTTTGGCTCAGGCCACGATCTCACGGTTCATGAGTTTGAGCCCCGCATCAGGCTCACTGTCAGTACAGAGCGTGCTTCAGATCTTCTGTCTCCCTTTCTCTCTGTTTCTCCTCCGCTCACTCTCTCATGCTCTCTCAGAAAGAAATAAAAACATTAAAAAAAAAAAAAAAAACTATCTAAGGAAAGTATGTTCCAGGCAAGAGGTAATAGCAAATTCTAAAATGTTGAGATAGGACCATGCCTGGCAGGAAAGAAAGGAGGCCACTGTGGCTACAGCAAGAAGCAAGGGGCAGAGTAGGAAGAGCCGTGGGCAGGGGGCGCTGGCACCAGATCATACCGTCAGGACTTGCAGGCCATGGTAAGGAAATGGAAGATTCAGAGTAAAGATATGTACGTATAGGCAGACAAGATAAACGTCTGGAAGACGACAAACTGGGCTGAGATCTGTGCAAGTCAACCTGACCTCCACCTGCTCTCAAGTAAACAGTGAATAGTGTCAAAGGTAAATTCCAACTCTACCTGGTAGTGAATAGCAAGAGTGAATATTTTTCTACTGAAGATGAGTAAACAAACTTCAACAGACACCGGTCTATGAAAAACACTTGAAAAAGGGAAATACTTCCATTTTGAAATCTTAAAAAAAATAGTAGCACCCTCAAAAAATGGAATAAAGTATGTTCTCTGCAAACAAGAATAAATAAAAAGTTAGGAGAGAAAGGCAAACAGAAATGAGAAAGAAAAACAGAAAAGAAAACAGAATGAGCTAATAATGAAGACATCAAGGAGGATGTTGTCCACAAGAGCCACAGCAGACATCATTTATTAAACATTTAAATCTGTGTCAGAGGGGCACCTGGTGGCTCAGTCGGTTAAGTACCCAACTCTTGATTTTGGCTCAAGTCATAAACTCGAGGTTTGGGAGTTTGAGCCCCATGTTGGGCTCTGCACTGACAGTATGGAGCCTGCTTATAATTCTCTCTCTTTCCCCTCCCCTTCTCTTTCTCTCTCTCAAAATAAATAAACTTAAAACAAACAAATTTGTGTGAGAAACTGTGCAACAGATGTGATCAAACTGAATCAGTGTGATACTATTAAGCAGGTAATACAAGTCCCACTTTGTACATGATAAAATTGAAATTCAGGAAAGTTAAGTAACACGCCAAATGTCACATACCTAGTAAGTGGCAGTTCTGGAATTCAAATCTACTTTTATTATAAAAAACTATCCATATGTTATAAACTGAATGTTTGTGTTCCCGTAAAACTCATATTTTGTCATCCTAATCCTTAATGTGATGGTATTTGGAGCTGGGTCTTTGGAGGATGATGAGGTCATGAGAGTAGAGCCCTCACAAATGGGATGAGCACCCTTATAAACCAGACGTCAGAGTTCCTCGCTGCTTGCACCACAGGAGAACATAGCAAGATGATGGCTGGACATAGTAAGTCAGCCCTCTCCAGATGAAGAGCCTGCGGGCGCCTGGATCTGGCTTTCCTAGCCTCCAAAACTGTGAGAAGTAAGTTTGATAAGGCATCCGGTCAACGGTACTTTGTGACAGCAGCCCAGAGTGACAAAGACACCATCACTAGAAGTGCATACAAAAGTCACTAGTAGAAATGACAGGAAAGATGGCTGGGAGAAGGAAGAACTGGAAAAACAGAATGAGGCAGTAAGTACAGACCGGCAGTAAGGAAAACTCAATCAGTGATAAGGAAGATACGCTTGAAGAACACTTTCTGAGTATAAAGAAAATGACAAATTGACTAAAGTGATAATTTAGAAGATGACAGCAGAAGAATGAACAAGGATCCTAAGAAGAAAACCACTGAAACAGAAACAATAATCAAATACAGAAATAAGAAAACTTTCCAGAGTTGGAAAATATCCCCCCCCCAAAGAGATCATAGGCAAATTTAAAGATTCAGAACTAGACAGAAATTTTAAATTATAATAAGTTAAGGGGTGTCTGGGTGGCTTAGTTGGTTAAGCATCTGACCCTTGATTTCAGCTCAGGTCATGATCTCAGTTCAAGAAATTGAGCTTTGTGTTGGGCTCTGAGCTGACAGTGCAAGGCCTGCTTCCAATTCTCTCTCTCTGCCCCACCCCGACTTGTGCATGTACTCTCCCTCTCTCAAAATAAATAAATAAACATTAAAAAATAGAGAAAATAATTTAAAAATTATATAGAAGTCTAGGTCAGTGAGACAGGTGGTGGGCGAAGGAATAAAATTAGACTGGTCTCTAAAAAGTAAAGTACAGACAAGGGGAACACACTGTACCTCAAGAATTTTACATGCAACAGATTGAATATTCACATGTAAGGCAAAAACAATCTTAGATAATCAGGAGCTGAGAAAATTTATGACCCGCGAGTGCTTTGTGAATAAGTTACATGAATTCAGAGTCTCATTAAAACAAAGATGAACTAAAATTAAGAACTCAAGAATGAAGTTTCACAAAAATAGAGTTCTCACTAAAACTAGGACAGGAGAATGTAATAAGTTAAATGTAATTATGAAACATTTCAAGGCAAAGCAAAAATTCTTTAAAAAGATACAATGTATTAAATAATATTTTAATTTAAAAATAACCTGATTGCAAAAACTCAGATTATTTGATAACAGTTAAAAAGTGGGAGTCAGGTTGGAAATGAAGAAGTTTATGTTGAATTTAAATGAGGTGGATGAAAACTCAACACATACTCTTTCATTTCAGCCTTCAAAAATTACAGAATTTTAAAATTACTTTTAATGTTTATTTTTGAAAGAGAGTGTGTGAGTGGGAGAGGGGCAGAGAGAGAGGGAGACACAGAATCCAAAGCAGGCAAATCGATGCAGGGCTTGAACTCATAAACCGTGAGACCATAACCTGAGCCAAAGTCAGACGTTTAACTGATTGAGCCATCCAGGCACCCCTAAAAATTATAAAATTTTTAAATTTCATAGAATTCTCTAGAATCAGCCATTCAAAAATTATAGAATTCTAGATTAAAGAATATTTTCTAAAAATGTATAGGTTACCAACTGTAGAAGCAAAAATAAAATATATGTTGCGGTACCTGGGTGGCTTAGTTAAGCATTCAACTATTGATTTTGGCTCGGTGTCTCATGGTTCATGAGTTCGAGTCCAACATCAGGTTCTGCTCTGGTAGTGCAGAGCCTGCTTGGGATTCTCTCTCCCTTTCTCTCTCTCTGCCCTTCACACACACAATTTCATCCTGTGTGTGTAATAAAATTTTACACACACACAATTATCCTGCCAGGAATACTTTAACCAGAAAGAACTTCAACACCTTCGAATGGTGGATTCAGTGCAAGATAAAAGGAAAAGGGTCCCTTCCTCTGCCAGGCAGGGAACACTGAAAGAATCAAGTGAAACCTGAAGAACAAAAAGCAGAAGAGAGGCTTAACTACTTTCTTTTTCCTCGTGGGTTCTTCCCCCAAAATTGACACTGACAGAAAAACGTTAGTCCCCTTTCTAACATATCTCCACTTGCTTTTATTCCAACTGCCAATGACTCTGCCATTTTATCTCATTTAGTGATCTCACAGTGAATTAACTTCAGTGTAATCCACGCATCATTCTTTTTTATAGTTTATAAATGGATTCACAAGGCTTACAAAAGGAAAATTATTTAAAATAATCAAAGTAGTTCTGCACTGAGCAACTGTTAAGAGCAAACTTTACTCTTGATTCTAATTACTAAAAAATAAAGGAAGAAGCAGCTTACCAAGTGAACCCAGTATGACCAGAATTGTTAAGATCCACACAAGTACTCTTGATATATACCTGATTATCACCATCAAAATCATGGAGAGAACTGTAAGAAAGATAGAGAACATGTACAATATTATTTTAAATAACACTGGAAAATACAAAGAGAAACTCAACTGTTTTCTCCTAGGGATATAATATGTTGCTATTGACCAGTTCAAGACCCCAATTTAGGGAAGAGAAGTAACTGGCTACTTTTGCAATTTTTGGTACTCGAGTCTACGTGCACCACCTGAATTCTGTCACTTGGAAACTACAGGCACCTAACTGTGGGTTTATAAATGACAGAAAAGAAAACATGCAAATGCACATGGTGACTCAAAAACAGCACAGAACTGTTGTGGATTCACCACGGGAAGACATCAGAACGCACATGCAAACATACATGCTAACACAAAGTGTAGAGAATGATGTGTCATGTTGGTGATCAGAAAAATTACCACACATAGACAGAGATCAGTTAAATTAGCTACACTTCATGAGTAATCCTTGTATTTCAGGACGAACTTCTCTAACAGTTGGTCAACGAGCTAGACAGTATTTTATCTTTTTCCAGTCATTTCTCCTCTAAAACTCTAAAAGACGCTCTGATCCTACAGAATAATATTCTGAAGCCTACTAAGGCCCAAATTCCTCTGACCTTAATTTTCAACTGGTGTCAGGGGTCCTAATTGGTTGACTCTTCAAAGAAAAGCAACGCTTAGTTTGAGTTATTTAGCCAAATGCCTCTACCCATCCCCAACTAAATTCCAACATGCTAAAATCTGGAGTGAAAATCTTAAAAAAGAAACTGGGAAGATTTGACCTTTGCATGGGGAAATTCATTTCTGAAATCATAATTTGTTCATCATGAATCATCTTAAGGCCCATTTCACAAATAAATTATTAATTTAAAGATCTTAAGCCTAAAGAGAACCAATCTAATAAAAACTGGAAATCCAATGGCTTAACTTTATTATCACCATTTTGAAGGTGTGGGCTTTTTTTTCCCTCTTGGTCAAAGTATTCAACTATTTCAGAAACCAAATAATTTTTTTATAAAGCCAGACTAATAGTCAAGATTCTTTGGGCCATTTGCAAAGCCAAATAAACGGTTGGGATCTGTGACTGGGTAACATTATTAAGGTACTCACTTTTGCAATAAATGTACAGGAACCAAAAACAGATGGGAGCGTTTCAAATATCACAGAAATAGCTTTTCATATGGACAGCATTATTTCAACTGAGTCAAGTACTACCTAAGCAAAAAGAAAATACTCTCTAATGACAAGACGGAAATACAGCTAGTCTTCTCAATGACTATAATTGTTGTTAACAGGTATAAGTACTCATTTCACATATATAATGAAATAGTTGCTTGGTTCCTACCACAGTTCACTCCTCCCAACTAGAAAGATCTATAGATTCTAATATGGCTACATATAGTTCTAGGATAATATAGAGAGTTGAAATAACATTTATTTGATTATATTATCTATTGACAAGAAAACTCAATGGCTAACAAGTGGAGATTTCCTAATTTTTCCAGCAAAACAGTGACATTATGAACTGTAGCAATGAAAAAAAACATATTTCAAAAGTAATCTATCAGAAATCTATGTTCTTTGATGGAAATGTGTAAGAGAATATGTGGCTCCTGTTATAAGCCTTTGGAATCATAACTAAAAACAAATGGGCATTGATTCATTAAGAGAAGCCTCCTTCTATCATATCAATGGTTATTATAGAGAGTAACCAAAGTTTGGGAAAACACCAGTTTTCTCCAATGAGCGAAAAAGAAAGGAAATTAGTTTCAGATAAATAAATATATATATATATAAATATGTATATATTTATAACTATATGTAATCTGAAACAGTTATTTTGGCTAAGGGAAGTTAAACATTTTACAGGTATCCCCACTGTATTCATATTTTGGTTAAAAGACAGAACAGTCTTCTACTGTAGTACTATGCAATAGCTAATAATGAGAAAAACAATTACCTAGTGATAACAAGCAAAGTCCCAATATAATTTCTTTGCTGGTCATTACTCCACTAATCAGCCTGTGTAAGACACTATTGTCACTGACAAAGGTGATCAGGGCCTCTGCAAACTTGGCATAGCAGGAAATGTTCACAGGAGCACAGCGATGGAAGAATGGAATAGGTGCACTGGTGACACAAGAAAAAAAAATCAGAAAAAAAATTACTCCTACTCAATATAAATGCCACATCAAACACACAAATGAAGGTGATTATGACTGCAATACACTCCACCCTCCACACATCATATGGGCGCTAAGAGCCGTGAGCTTAATGCTATGAAGATGACTGTCATGGGCAGGGATGCGAATCTTACCACAGGCCTTATCAGAGAGGGTGGAGTGCATATTCCAAGGAAGACATTACCCTCCCCTTCTGAAAAGAAACACACACACATATACACACACATACGCACATACACAACTACCAAAACCAAAACCAAACACTTAAACTCCTCAGCCTGCACATCTATCAGTCAAGGGGTAGATGACAAAACAAACATATACTTCATTGAACTAAAAATGAAATTTTTGCCATAAGCTATTTAAAAATAGAAAACACACATGCTTTTGCTTGAAATGTGCCACCATTAATAGAATGCTTCCTCTGTCAGAATAGCATACAGAACCTTGTATTTAAAAAGGTGTTTGGGGCACAAGCTTAATAACCCTCATATAAATTAATCATGCCAAGACATCAACATACAGCATAATGTGCAGCTAATTAAAACAATAACCATGGATACTAATGTATGGAAACACAAGGCTAATAGTACATGGGTAATAAAACAAAAATTTGTATCTAATGTTCTGGTTGCATCTCTGTACAAAAAACAGTATATAAATAAGAATGAGAACAGAAAAAATATAACTAAATGAAAATATATGATTTTTTAAGGTCTTGAGATTCTGGGCTATTTTCTGTTCTTTTTATATCATTATTATTATAAGATTATTTGTGTCCAAAAAAAAAAAGAAGTAATCTGTTATTATCAGGTTTATACTGACCACAGCTTTTTTTGTGAAGGAACATAGCTATGTGTGAACAGTGACATAAGTCTGGTTTGTTATAACATATTCTACTTTAGCCTTGGAAAGTATGGTGTACATCTGATCAATGAGAGATTCTAAAAAAGCTCTATGAACATACCCTCAGTTGTGATTTGTATGGATTCTAAAAGAGTCCTTATGCCTGTCCATACACAAATACACATTTCTGTGTGCATTAAGTTAAAATTTAGCCAACACTAACATAAATCTCATATTTTCAGAATTATTTGTGGAACTATCAGTCATAGCTCTAATATAACCCCGTTGGCTGGAATGATATAAGTATGCTCTCATTCTTGGTTGGCACTGTATTTTGTATCAAATTAGTGGAGAAGAGTATATGATTGAGCATCAAATTCCAAAGTTTCTGATCTCAGCAAAGCAATTTTGTATGACCTGAAGCAAAATACTACCTTTGTTTCTCCTTCCTCAAAAAACAACAAAAATATTTTTCAAATAAAATAAAAGTGTACTATGTATCGGTTTTCCTTAAATGCTGGCAAATGAGCACCACTGGGAGTAAGAATAGGCAACATCTTCCATGCTGTTGAACTTCATGGAACAATAAAATAATTATAAAGGTCTAATCTTACCTTAGTTATGCATCAGTGAAATATATCCCAAAATAATTATGTGGCACTATGATATAACTGTTCACTTAAAATGAAGGGATTCTTGTGCTTGTGGGTATATTTGTATATACCTCCAAAATGATGTTGGTGAAAGTTAATGTCCAAGATTCGATATTTTGTCAGAAATTACAGAAAATCAGAGCATTTTGAGTAGTGCTTAAATTACAGGCATGCGAGTCATTGTTTTTGACCAAATTTGTTTCACTAATGATATAAAAAGCTATTAAATTACAGAACATCTTTAAGCGAAATGGATTTAGTCAGAAATATTACAGGAAAGAATCAAAAGAATTAACCATAAGTTCATAGTAAATGGAGGCTAATGTGGGACAGAAACCTTTAAACTGATGGCTTTCTTGTGACCTATGACTGTTTTTCTTCCTGATGCTATCTAGATAAGGTCCCTGACACTTTAATATCCCTGTCTAAGGACTTCTAACTATATTTTTAGCTAAAGCCTTGTTCTCTATCCTTTGAAACCAAAGTCCTCTCTGCTCCATGGTTATCTACATCTTCATCTGCTTTATTTATTACCCTATCATTTCTGGTATAGCCTCTGTTTAACTCACTTGCCTCCAACCTTGAACATAAAATATATCTCCCTCAAAGATACGGATGTCATTTTCTCATTTTCAATATCCACCAATTTTCTTGGCCCTGCTCTGTTTCTTTTTTCCTGTCATATAACCATAAGTGCACCTTATCCTCTGTCCAGAAGTAGCTCCACCTCTATCTCCCATATCCTAACAGGATGTTAATATAGTTTTATATTCAAAGAGACATAGATGTCATTTGTAAAAGAGAGCAGAGCCTGTTATAATAGAAAGAAAAGCTCTGGGTGATCCTCCTAACATTACATAGCTGCGTGTCACTCCATCTCTATCAGCTTCTCCATCTGTTAGCTGAAAGCATAGGAACAACCCCTCCGTTTTTTCAGATGACAAAGAAGAAGAAGATGATGATGATGATAGTGATAGAGCCCAGTCATAAGTCAGTAATTCTAAATTAATAGGAGCAGATGCCCGTAGTGTTCGTGTTTTTCTGCTTTTCAGACTTATAATGAGGCTCAATGGTTTGAAAAGAGAATGATTATACTCTTAAAATTCTAATCTTTCATTCCTATTTAAGAGGAAATACTGAGTAATATCTGCTCTCTTACCCTTTCAAGTCATTTTTATACTATCCATAAACACTTGGACAATTGGAAAGAGCACTTTTACAAGTCTCCTTCAAAGAATTGAAGCAAAGTAACAACGGATCCCTTACCTCATAATTTAATCTATGTCAGTTAAAAAAAAAAAAAAACCTGACAGCTCTAAATTTGAAGGTATAAAATTAGTACAAGCAGATTACATTGTCTAGCTGATGGTCAAAATGGTCAAGTGATAAGGAATACCAGAAAGAGAAGACAAATAAAAGAGAAGGCAATATTTGGTTACAGCAGCAAAAATCAAAGTTAAATATTTAAAGAACAAACACTACATTCCCTTGTCATTCATTTTCTCTACTGTTCCCCAAACAAAAACAATTTAATCAGTCATGAGTTTTTAATATTCAGATGATTTTTCTTGTTAAAAAAATCTAAGTTAATCATGGCACTGAAATGGTCTGTCTTGTATTTTACCATTTAAATCCTATGTGATATAATGAATTTGAATTAGGTCATTTCATATACCTCTCAGAAAATAATACTTCTGTGAGATCTTTTCTACTTTAGTGTCTAACCTAAATGACACACCCTGTGCTTCTTAATTAAGAGGACAAGCATAAAGAATTCTATTTATAGTAAGTTCTTCTACCTCTTGAAGCCCACAGAATATCGAATCTTTAAGAAGTCAATGTAGTCCCATTAGGAACTGATGCTGTTTCACATTATTGAAACATTAGTCAACAAGAACAAAATGAATTTATAATGAGTCCTTTAAAGATTTTTAAAAATTAGCCACTCAGAGGAAAATTGTATCTTACCTTGGCAAACATACTGTCCATTTGCCTTAAGTGCAGACTATCACAGCTAATGAGCTCCCTCAAAATATGATGACAAACAGTGTAATGTCTCTTGTCCATATGCCTTCAGAAGTGAAGACAGGAGTTTGATCTCAAACAATTATCTTAAAACTTGACGTTATAAATAAGCAATTACACATGATTTCTAAGGTAAAGTTTTATTTAAGAAAGAATAACAATAAAGGATTCTGGCAATAGCACTATAGCACAGAAAACAGCAAATAAATCAAGAATCTAATGGCAATACTCCTTGGTTTTTCATACATTTCATTTTATTTTATTCATTTTTTCTCTTCTTTCATTCCTATACTCTTTCCTTTAATTTTTATTTTATTTTTTTTTAAGTAGGCTCCATGCCCAATGTGGGGCTTGAACTCATAACCCTGAGATTAAGAGTCACATGCTGTACTGACTGAGCCAGGCAGGCTCCCCCACCTTTTTTTTTTTTTTTTTAAACAACTGGTATAGGACTTTGTCTTGTGGAAGACGGCAGAGTAAGAGGACCCTAAGCTCACCTTATCCTATGGATACAACTAGATAACACTCACATTAGGATAAAACTAACTGTGACAGACTTTACAAGATCTTAGATTAAAATTCTGATTCCAAACAATTAGTTGTGTGGCTTTGCACAACTTATTTAACTTATCTTCTATTTCCTCACCTATAAATATAGGCTTTTGTAAGAATTAAATAAGACAATACATATGAGAAGCTTAATATGGTGGCTAGAACAATGTAGATGGTTTATAAATATAAATTTATAATTTAATAAATTATTATTAATTTATGTTGAATTCTTCATTTTTTTAATGTTTTATTTTGTTTTTGAGAGAGAGAGAGAGAAAGACACACACAGTGTGAGCAGGGGAGGGTCAGAGAGAGAGGGAGACACAGAATCCGAAGCAGGATCCAGGCTCTGAGCTAGCTGTCAGCACAGAGTCTGACACGGGGCTCGAACCCACAAACCGCGAGATCATGACCTGAGCCAAAGTCAGACTGAGCCACCTAGACACCCCTGAATTCTTCATTTTAAAAATATGAGTAGATAACACTTTTTTTTCTTGGCTATTGGTTTCTCATTTCCATATCATGCTATTAATTTCCCAAAACCTAATAACCTTTCTGGCATCCAGAAGTAGCCAATAAATGGTGAATAAACTGAATTTATGTAATCTGTTTCTACTACCACAATTTTCTCTAGCTATACCTAAACCTTCAAGCATTTTAAGTATCAGGGCTAGCTTGTCTCCCCATTGCTACCATGCTTAGCATGTCATCAATAGAGAGCTATGAATTTAGATAAACTATGGCCCTTTCCAGGCATTTGCTTTTAAAATTCGAATGCTCTTAGCAATAGTAACCATTTGGCAATTATGTGGTGTTAGCGTTTTATTGCAAATTAGTTTAGAATTGCTTTTATCTAAGAAACAGTCATTGCTTTCAATTGCAGGTGCCTGGGGACCCAGGAAGGTTAGGGGCAAAAGGGGAGGCACTAGAGGTTGAGAGAAATAGTTATTCCTTCAGCCAGATGTCAAGCACAATAATGGATGCTTAAAACATATTGCCTATCTAATTCTTACAACAATTTCATGACAGAGGTATTAACATTCCCATTTTAGATATGAGAAAACTTAGTTCACAAAAAGGGTAAGAGACTTGCTCGAGTTAGCAAAGAGAAAGTGGTGATACAGAATTCACCCCCAGGCCTATCTGGACTCAAAATTCAGCTCTTTCTGTCCCACTAGGGCAAAAAAGGCGTGACCGATGCTAAGGGCCACTTGCCTGCAGCACAAGTTTTGCCTAGTCTAGGTTTGCCTAGTGCTAGTCTTTTGGTGTACACAAAAATAGCCACCAAAACAGTCCCTATTTTTTTTTTTAAGGACAGAGTTTAAGGACAGAGACTAGTCCTCACTCATCTTTGAAGATTCGGTATCTAATGCTAAGTGTGGAACGTGGTATTGCCCCAAGCTTTTTATCAGAACAAATTCTTTGTTTCTTGATCCTTATACTCTGCTTGCCAAATGCTAAATGATGATACTTACAAGGTCCTAATTTGACTTCCTTCTATCAACTGTTACTTCTCTTTTACTTTCCAACAGGCTGAGTTCAAATTAAAGTGGTAAGATAATTTTAGGCTGTGAGGTACTAAGATTAGTAAAACATGGGATATTTAAATAAAGTATAAACATAGTATACAGTCAGTTTTCTGATGGCATAGGGTCATCTTTACTTCTTGCATTACTGAGATATTAGGAGATGGAGAAGCCAAGTCTGTCCATGTCTAGAACCCAAGCCCCTAATAATATGTTTCATCTTCAAAGTGAATGCCCTTACATGAGGGCATTGCCCTTACATGAGATGTGTGAGTTATATATGGCCAAGAATGTAACACCTGAGACAAATATCCAGGGACAGGCAGTCCTCAACGTGGTAGAGTCAGAGGTCAGAGGTGCAGGAGGATTTACTCCACCCCTACCCCTCTCATGTTACACAGGAGCATCCTCACATCAGTGTTTTTTCATTATCCGTTCATAACATGTTTACGCCTTAAAATGTGACTCTATACTCAAAGTATGCATTTAAAACAGGCTTTTAGCAGCTGAGTAGATAAGAGGACAGAGCCCTTCTTGTTTTTACATTGATAAATTTTCTTCAGTGACTCTATTCAAAGGCTCTCCTTTTCTTTACTGTCACAGCCTCCCTAATATTCTCAGTGTTCATGAATGGAGTCTCTTTACCAATTGGTCTAAGCTCATAATTTATAGGCCTTACGATCTTTTTAAAAGAGTTCCTTTATTTTTATTTCCACAGGCTTTACATTTTAATTTCAACAGCAACGTGACAAGACTAAAAGAGCTGGAAATCAATTAAAGTGATATATTCCTTTGTCTACTTTTCAACAGAAAATTTCAAATTTCATTCAAGTTAATAAAGCACAATTACACCCGTAAGCAAGCCAAAGGAAAGCAGACATAAGATGGATCTCAAAATTTTAACCTGTAGCTTGCTATAATACACTAAGATATAATAAAAATGGCCTCAATTCGGTATTCCTTGTGAAGTTGACTCGTGTCATACACGATTAGAGATACACATTTAAGGTTCTCAAGATCAGACATGTTCCAAATCCTACGCCCTTAATTCTGAGGATACATTCTATAATGCTTACAAATATATTTATTTGTTAAAAGAAAATCTATAATTTTAAAGCTGGATTTATTTATAACTACTGTGAGATGCTTCCAAATAAAGAATGTTTCTTGTCTCTTCTGTGTAGCCATTATATGCAGTAGGTACTTAATAATAAATATTTGTTGACTAAGACCTTGGATAAGATATGGCAAACAGCATATTTATAGCTTTATAGCTATATATATAGCTATAATAATATAGCATTATTATAGAGAATGTACCTAAAATATATAGCCTGAAATAAAGTATGGAGAATAATCTGGAGTATTGTTTTAATTTACTTAAATAATCCCACTAACAATTACTGGAATCAACTGCAGAGATTCTTTGGAGACTGTGAGACTTGGCTTCTAATTTCGCTATAGATTTTATAATGATTCAGCAGTTCTCTACACTTAAAAAGTATGACATTAAAAAAAAAAAAAAAGCAAACCCCCAAAAGAAATTTAAAATATCTGGGAATGAGAAAAGTTATGTGCCTCTGTGTGTGTTTTAAGATATGAAATACATGTTGTCATTTCTATTACTACTTTTTAAATCTTGTTGTAAAAGTACCAGTCCTGAGCAACAGGTATCAAGTGACTCTTTTCCCAGAACAATACATACAGTTTAAAATCTACCTACAAAAACAGAAGTCACAAGTTAACAAAATACAATAAAATTACCTCGCTGGAACTGGTAGTTTGGGGCAAAGAACAGAAGCTTTTGAAGATGTAGTGTATTCAGAAGGCTTTAGGTTGTAGCTACATAGTGCTGAGCCTGTTGAAAGAAAAGGTATATGTTAGCTGGCAGAAAAATAAATAAATTCTCTCATGGATTCACTGTAATTTTATTTTATATGTTTATATCAACTCAACATATACAACTTTTAACCACTATAGAACTAATAAGAATTTGATTTGGTCTTTAGCATCAGTCCTAGTCATTTAAAACTGATTTCTCTCCAGCAATTTATGCACAAATTTTAACAATATTCAGGGTAATAACAACAGTAAGTACTATAACTACCTTTCTTGAGTATCTGCCATATATCAGACCATACATATATATATATATATATATAATTTTTTTTAAGAGTCAACTTTTAGTAACTAACCAAACCGTGTCCAGGAATGTCCCCAAACAACCAAACAACAGAAACATGACAGAATTCTCCTGTTAAAGAAGCCAAGTATCTTGGCCCACCCTAGCACTTCTGAGGGTCAGGCTAAGAGTAGCCCATTCCCAAGGCTGGTTCTATACCCATGCAAGTTTCTCATCCCAGCAAGAGGGTTGGGGATGGACCCCTTCTCTCCACCATGCTGGAACTCAGAAAGTCACTCACTGCGTGGGGGCCTCTCCTTTTACCCCATACATATGTTAATTATGTGTTTACTTTAACTTGATTAAGCAAGTGTTATTAAGCCTACTTTACAGAGGAGGAAACAGAGGCTAAGAAACAAAGTACATCACTTGCCCAAGATGACCCAGCTACTAGGCAGGAGAGCTGGAACTGCACCCCAGATCTCTTTGACTACAAACCCAGCTTCAACTACACATGTCATCCCTCTTTCCTATGCTTCCCATTACTAAATATTTAAAAGGACTGCATACAGCACATATGCTTTCAGACAATACATTACTTTTTCCTTATTTAAAGGCAGTAAATACTAACTGTAAATAAACTGAACAGATTGATAAAAGGATTCTAGCTTTCAGATGGTTTAAAACAGCTCAAATTCAATCATAGGTTGTTTTGATGTTTACAGCCATCTAAGTCCAGACAACCCTTGATAAATCTTATTTTACTGACCTGCTAATTTTATAATATAGCAACGAGAATATTGTCAGGTTTGTCGTAATGATAGATATTGTTAACTGAGAAGACCTAGGCTCTAGTTCTAATTTTGCACTCTATCATGTAAATTGTTTGTATTTTATTAATTGCAGTTCCTACCAGATTACTAATTTGGCCAACTATTTTATTGTTAAATATAAATAGAACAGCTTTGTGTTTATGTTTATAATATAGCAACAATGAAGTTTCACATACCACCATGGAAAAAGTTTAAAATAAAATGTGAGGTGAAAATGGCAAGTTTTAACATTGAACTAACTATAGAAATGTCATGTGAGAATGTAAGAAAGAGCTAGAAGAGAATACAGAAAAAAGATTTGCTGGGAGAACAAACAAACTTTAGAGTGGTTTTATTTCATTTATACCTTGTCCTATCAATCAAAAGAAATTTTATTATTTTTAAAAATTTTTAATGTTTTATTTATTTTTGAGAGAGAAAGACAGCGTGAGCAGGGGAGGGTCAGAGAGAGAGAGGGAGACACACAATTAGAAGCAGGCTCCAGGCTCTGAGCTGTCAACACAGAGCCTGACGCGGGGCTCAAATCCACGAACTGTGAGATCATGACCTGAGCCAAAGTTGGATGCTTAACCGACTGAGCCACCCAGGCGCCCCCAAAAGAAATTTTAAAAGGCCACAAACCTGCATTTAATTCAGTAATGCTGCCCCCAAACTAGCAACAAACCTGCTGCGTATTTAAATATATGGGCTGTAGGGGTGCCTGGGTGGCTCAATCAGTTGAGCGTCTGACTTGGGCTCAAGTCATGATCTTGCAGTTCGAGCTCCACGTCCAGCTCTGTGCTGAAATGCTGACAGCTGGGAGCCTGGAGGCTGCTTCAGATTCTGTGTCTCCCTCTTTCTCTGTTCCTTCCCCACTCATACTCCATCTCTCCATCTCTCTCTCTCTCTCTCTCTCTCTCTCTCTCTCTCTCTCAAAAATAAATAAGTATTTTTGGGGCGCCTGGGTGGCTTAGTCGGTTAAGCGTCCGACTTTTGCTTAGGTCATGATCTCATGGTTCATGGGTTCGAGCCCGGCATCAGGCTCTGTGCTGACTGCCAGCTCAGAGCCTGGAGCCTATTTCAGAGTCTGTGTCTCCCTCTCTCTCTGACCCTCCCCTGCTCACGCTGTCTCTCTCTCTCTCTCTCCTAGAAATAAATAAAAATATTTAAAAAAAAATAAAAAATAAATAAATATTTTTAAAAGGTTAAAAAAATATTTGGGCTGTAAATATCATACTTAGATAAAATATGTAGCATCTATTTTAGATAAAGATAATTCAAGTAATTTGACAATGAAAGATTTTTTTAAAGAGATACTTGAAAGTTACATGGCACTGTTAAGTTTCTTCAGCTTAAGCAGACTCGCGAGGAAACTAAGTTACTAAAATCGTCTTTGAACATTCTTTCCATTTTAATGACTTATTGTTTTTAAGTTAAGCATGAATATTAAATATATTTCATGTCTGAAGATAATGCCACTAGATTCTATTTACAGCAGTTTTAGAGAAAACACGGCAGCAGTGGCAAGCAAACATTTTAGATTAATCCTGAAATATCCAGGAGTCCTACTGTAGGATTGCTCATGAAAAACAGCCACTGTGCCACTAACTGCAGAGTACCCAATGTGATCATCAACCTCCTGTTCCGAATTGTCAACTTATTTCTTTCAGAGTCCAAGATGGAATCGATTTACACAATATGAAAGGTCCTAACGAAAGCACTGTGTCAGTGCCGTCAAACACACTGCTTCAGCTGAATTCAGTGAACATAATCTCCGTCTCCACCCTTTCTTCATTTAAAAAAGGAGGTCAGCAGGTGCAACAGGGTTCAATTTTATAAATACTTTCCCAGGATAATGCTCAATGAAAGGATAATAGCCTTATCTCTGATGGTATTCTGGGACACAGGCCAGTACTAAATAGATCCTGTACTAAATAGATTAAAGGAAAAAGATCTTTCCAATGCGTTAGTAGTAACAATCAGAAGAAACTTTATAATGCTTCCTGCTCAAAGGGCTGATGGACAGAGAAGCCTCAAAGAAGAACATTAAAACAACCCAGTAATGGCAAAATGTTACAACTGTTTTTCTTTTCATGTTTATTAGCTGATGCATTTTCAGTGAAAACTTTTAAGGTGGTAACCATCTTCTTTTTTTTTTTTTTTAAATAGTGAAAGTGTAAATAATACTTAGCACAAGAGGTTTGGTCAGAAACAGTAAGACAAAGTTTTTCTTCGAACACAAAAGGCAGGGAAAACCATACTTGAGTAATGAAGCCTAAAACCAAAAACAAAAGCTTATCTAAACCGCAACAGAGGCAATCCATGCAATACAGCAATGTTATTCAAAATGAGTGATCTTAGGAAGCCAACGTGGGTATATAAACATTTATCTTGGTAAACAGTTGCTATAGTCCCCAGAATGTTTAACTACTATAATTTTTCAAGTGACTTATAATACTCAATTATTTATTCTTTAGCTCAACATCACTTATAAGAACTCCCTTAAGAGGTATGTTTCTATCACCATGCTCCAAACACTATAGATGAGGAAAAAAAGTAATACTTCCAAGGGCTTATAAGTAATCACTGACAAATTCAGAAATAAAATTCTCTACTCTTAGGCCACAATGCTTCTTCTGTGCCATTCCTAATAGTCATAATCAGACAAATATTCAATAAGCCTCTGGGCAAAAAATAGACATTCCACAGATATCTTGGAAACAACATGTTTGGTGGAAAAAAGACATTTCCATCACCCACTCTCCAAATCTGCTCTGCCTCCTTCCATCTGTTTTCCATCCTTGATAATGGCTCTACCATCCATGAAATCCCCAAGGACTTGAAATGGGAAGTCGTCCTATATCTTCTTCTTTATCCATCATCTTCATATACCCTTTAAGACATTTAAGATACCAAGTCCTGATAACTGGATCTTTCCATGAGTTATCTCAGACCTTTAAGATCTCTTATTGGTTCAAACTACTCTCCCAAAGGGTTTCTCCTTTATATGCTGCACACAACCTTGAGAAGGGTCTTTGTAAAATGGAAGTTAGCTGTATCATATTCCTGCCCTCAGGATAATTTCCAACTCCTTGGCTCAAAGCTCTCCTAAAGCAGGCCTCTACCTAAAACTCCAGCCTCATCTTAACATAATAAACTACTTACAGGGCCGCTGGGTGGCTCAGTCGATTGAGCATCTGACTTCAGCTCAGGTTACGATCATGAGTTCAAGCCCCGCATCGGGCTCGCTGCTAACAGTATGGAACCCGCTTCTGATCTTCTATCTCCCTCTCTGTCTCTCCCTCGCTTATGCTCTCTCTCTCTCTCAAAAATAAATTAAAAAAAAATTTTAATTAAAAACAAAACAAAACATAACATAACAAACTACCCACAATTTTTGCTGTTTAACAAGCTTTCAGGCTTTTTCACATGCTGTTTCCCCTGCGTGGGCCATCCATTCCTAACTACCATCTGAGTATTCAAGTTTGAGCAGCCTTCTACAAACTACTCAAGTCTCACCTCCTCCAGGAAGCCTTATCTGATGCACCCAAAGCTACTTACTGCTTAGTTCTATTATAAAACTTAGCATATTATTTTGTACCTTTTTTAGCTTACGTATCATGTCTACTTTTAGAAAGTGAGCTATTTGAGAACGAGACTTTATGCCTTCAAAATATGTGGGACCCCTCTCTCCTGGCACACAGGCAGTACTCAAAAGCCATCTGTTGAATACAACAGACATCCTGATTGAAAAAAAAATATGAAATAACCATTTTTAAGCTCTTATTTTGGTGCTATCTGTTATATATAATGTCACTACAAATTATATAAAACAGGACTTCTCAACCCTGGTATTATAACATTTTGGGCTGGGCAGTTCTTGATTGTAGAGGGCTGTCCTGTACTTTGAAGGGTCTTTAGCAG